CAAAGGCAGAAAGTCGCTCCAAGTGAGGACCCAGGCTGCCAAATGTTGGTCTCAAACACATGTTCCCTGAACTTGGGCTTGGCTCCATGAGAAGAGCTCACAATGGAAACAGTGATGGCTGTTTGCTCAGGCAGCCAAGAGAATGAAAAGCGCATTGAAACGCAGCAGTGTCTCCATGGGGAGAGGCGCTGCGGGCCCCCTGGGTGGTGAAACCGACCTGACAGCAAAGCAGGACCACAGAGCCCGTTCCCAGCACCCTTCTGCAGTTCAACAACAGGCCTTTATGTGCACCCTCTCGGGGAGTCACCGAGAAGTTAAACTGTGGGCAGCCCAAGCTTTGCCCAGTTTGCCCTGTTTTCACTGAATTTGATTCTGTTAATTGAGAGAAAGCAAAGAGTTCTTCTCAATGTGTGTTTCTGTCCCTCCCCTGTAAGGTTTCACCAACTTCCTTTTTTATCGCTGCCCCTGGTGGACTGTTTTGACCTCCAGTGAGCGCCATTTCAGTTGGTATTTTCATGCCATACTTTCTGTCCTTTCCCCAGTGGTTTTGTGACTGCCGGGCTGAGGAAAACAGCTGGCAGCCAAAGAACCAGGCTTTGGGGTGAGGGAGCAGGAGTCTCCACCAACTCCAGGGTTCGGTCACCTGTGCCGACACAGGCAGATGGTGCCCCCCTGTCCTCTGCCTCTCTCATCAAAGATGAGGGCCAATGTGAGTTACTATTTTGGTTACATGTACTTTGGGGAAATTCTGTTCTAAAATAAAGGAGGGCACATAAATTATGGTGCAAAGGTTGTAAGCCCAAATATATCCAGGCATAGGAAACCTTTAAAAAGTAGATGGAGTGAACTGGAAGGCGCCTTGTCCAAAGAGGAGCCATTTTGTTGTTTGTTATTCTGGCCAATTGTTGCCAGATCTTCAGAAATTTTTGAGAAGCAAGAAAGTGTATTTTTAGGTACACGTTTAGGGGCCACGAACAGACACAGGCATTCAGTTTGCAACCTCTGGTCTAGCAGAACAAAGATGGATTTTGGCTACAGATCTGAGTTTGAGTTGTGGCTCCAGGAGGCTCTGAGTGTCTGCTCGTGGGTGGGTAAGTGCGTTTTCGGAGTGGCAGTATCCTCACCTTTGACTGAGGGTGGGGTGACACCCCCGGCAGCGGGGTTGTGGCCATGAGCCAAGACGCTGTCCAGCACAGGCTTGAGGAGGGCTGCTTGCCACGTGTGAGGGCCAGCCTTGGTCTCCCGCTGCTGCTCATAAGGGACTCTCTTTTGCAGCTTACTGATCCGGATTTCCAGAGCTGCTTCTGACAAGCCTGAGAGATCATCCATAGAAGCAGCCTGTTGGGCAAATGATTTGGAGCCCCTTGCTGCGCACCAGGCGTTTGCTCATATGCACCACCCCTTCCCACATCTGGAAGCAGCAGCCCGTCTCTAGCAGCTAAGGAAGTGAGGAAGCAGGGCTGTTGATCACAGAGATATATATATAGATCCTCCTACCTAACTCTTGGGGCCTTGCCTTCTCCATGTCAACCACCAGGATTTTTTTTCTCCCTGAGGAAATAAAGATGAAAAGGGGAACTTTTTAAATCCCCAGTTGTGCTTTTTAAAGCATTCTACCATTCAGTCTAATGAAGAGTGAGGCTTTTGAGAATAAAAACATTTACACTGCCTCCTAAATTCTCCTTGAAGGAGATGCTTGGGCTGCCCTGGCTGGGCAGCCCTGGGATGGGTGCCCTGTGCTGGGTCTTTGTGGCTGCACGGTCTCTTCTCCAGTTGCAGTGAACAGGGGCTCCCCTCCAGTTGCAGTGCTCCGGCTCCTTCTTGCAGTGGCTTCTCTCGTTGCGGAGCACAGGCTCCGGGCCCGCGGGCTTCGGCAGCTGCAGCACAAGGGCTTGGTGGCCACGGTTCCAGGGCTGCAGAGTGTGGGCTGAGCTGCTCCTTGGCATGTCCGCAGGATCTGCCCCAACCGGGGATCAAACCCTGGTGAAGTCTTTACCAGAGCCGCCAGGATGTCTCTCTTTCCCAACACTTAAGATAGTAGCTGTTCCAAATTGTTTTTCCTAAAATTTTTTTTTTAAGTTTTGCTTTTCCACATTTAGATGTTTGATTCATCTTGCATTTATTTGCATTATTTAATCTATATTCATATATATATATAAAACCAATTATAAAATAATAGATTAACAGGTTCATCCCCCTTTGATTTTTCATGCCATCACTGCTCTATTTTAAACATGGGTCTAATCTGGGTTTCTGTTGTGTTCCCTGGTTTATGTGTCTGTTTCTTTGCCACATGGCACAGTCTTAACTACTTAATTACTGCTAACACAGATCTCCCTGGCTTGTTTTTCTTAACATTTCCTTGTTATTCTTGGCTTTTGCTCTCCAATTAGTGGACTTTTGCCAGCAATTGTCAGATTACACAGACACACACACCTGATTGGGAGTTTTATTCAAATTGTATTAAACTCAGAGGTTAATCTGGGGGCAACATGCATCTTTATAGTCCTGGATGTTCTCATCCTTGAATATGGTATATTAGGGTTATCTCTTATGTCCTTCGGTAATCATTTTTTCCATAAAGGTCTTACATATCATATTAAGTTTATTCCTATGCACATATACATTTTACTTCTATTGAAAATGAATTTTTTCCTATAATATTCCCTAATTGGTCATAACTGGTGTGTAAAAACATCAATATTTGTGACTGATCTGGTATCCACCTGCCGTGGAGAACTTTCTTACTCTAATTTGTATAGATTATTTTAGATTTTTCTGTGCAGATTATCATGGTCTGTATATTATAGTCTTCCTTTCTGATTCTTTTGCCTCTCCTTTACTTTTCCCCTCATTAGTTTTATGCCAGAACAAAGTTCAGAAAAGCACTGATAGCAGACTTCTTAATAGCTTCACTGAGATAATTCACATACCATAGAGTTCACCCCTCCGATTTCCTTTTTTAGTTAGTTTTTAATAGGAATGACTCTGAAATTTTACCATATTAGGTAACCAACTGTTGCAGTCCCATTTGTTAACTGGTTCATTATTTCCCTGATAACTTGTTATGCCACATGTTTTATACACAGATCAATTTCTGGGTTTTGTTCCACTAAAGTATTTGTCTATCCCAATGTCAGTACCACACTGCCTCATTCACCATAGCTTTATTTACTAAAATGTACATATTTGCTACAGGTTTTTTATGAATCCTCTTTATCAAATTAAAGAACTCTTAATTTACTAAGAAGTTAAATAAGTTTTGAGTTGTTTCGGGTGATGTTCCTTCATCTGTGAGATGACCATATACGTTAGGGTGCCTGCAGGGCCTGCACTCCTTTAGTCTGGCCTCGGGGGTCTTGTCTGGAATGAAGGATGCTAACACCTTCCATTTGTTGAGGCTTCCCTTGTGGCTCAGCTGGTAAAGAATTCACCTGCAATGCAGGAGACTGGGTTCGATCCCTGGGTTGGGAAGATCCCCTGGTGAAGGGAACGGCTACCCACTCCAGTATTCTGGCCTGGAGAATTCCATGGACTGTATAGTCCACGGGGTCGCAAAGAGTCGGACACAACTGAGCGGCTTTCACTTTCACTTTTCCATTTGCTGGGTGTCTTGAGTTCTGTAAAGAGCTCAAAGGTGTTCTGTGTATCCCTTGACCTGGAACCAGAGCCTTGCCCACGGGCTTCGCTACTGTCTCTAGGCTGCTCTCCCAGGCTCTGCATCCCCTCCCCCCCCGGTTTGCTGTTGTGCAGTCCCTAAGTCGTGTCCGACTCTCTGCGACCCCATGGACTGCAGCACGCCAGGCTCCTCTGCCCTCCACTCTCTCCCAGAGCTTGCTCAACTTCATGTCCATTGAGTTGGTGACTGCATCACCCTTCCTCGATTAATAAGTGTTTGAATCTGCCCTTTGGAACTCAGGGAAGGTCATGGAGGCTAGAGTCAATTTCCCTACAAGAATGGGGCACGTGGAAAGGTTTCCATGCCCAGGAGCCACACAGGGTCCCGCTCGGTTGCAGTAATAATGATAAACTCACACAATGCAATACTAAAATAAATGAAAAGGCTTTCTATGAACCAGTATGGAAAGATCACCATGATATACTGTTCACTGAAAAAAAGTATATCTAATATGTTCTAAGTATATATAATGTGTTCTCTTTTGTGTAAGAAAAAAACATTTTGAACATATATTCACATATAACTGGACTGCCAAAAATAAATTTTGAAAAAAATGTGCCAATAAAAGAAGTTTCCCAAAAGGTGGAGGGTTAGGACAGTCAGAAAACAGCAGTGGGAGGACTTCTTGATGTACACCTTTTTAGAGATTATATTGACCACTTAAAAAAAGTCCCTCCTGACAGAGGCTTCCTGTGCCCAGCTGTTCTGCCATGGGCCCCACAAACCCTCCTCCTGGCCTGGCATACGTAGGAGCGCCTTCTCTCACCCATCTAAAATAAAGTGAATAAAGGACAAGGTCACACTGCAGTGCCTTTATAAGAGGAAGTTTTATTGTTAATTATTTACCTTAATAGTTTCAGAAAGAGGAACAGATTAGCTCAGTCCAACATGACTGGCAGTTGGCAAAATCTAGTAAAGCAAGTGTTCTGATTGCTATGGATTTAATTTGGATGCTTTTAACACTTCACCATCTAACACTTCAAACATAATCCAGAATAAATGCATCATCTCCCCTTTCACTTTAATTCCCACCTCCCTCACTTCAATATGGAAATATCTTCATTAAATAAGATTCCCAGAGGAACGAGTTCTCTGGAGGGTATAGTCATGAGGACAGTGCACAAAAAGAAAAAACGCAAAATAAAACTCTGTGTGATAATTTACTAGTCTAAGGAAACAAAACCTTCCAATATATTAAGAAATAAATCCAGTTACAAATGCACTGATAGGTCTATGTCAAGAGGTTCTGGTAGAGTAACTGAAAATGGCCGGCTATTTACAAGATCCACAGCAGGAACGCCACACCAGCCCAGCGCCGGCCTCAGAAGCCGAAAGTGTTCTCGCCACTGTAGGCCACGTACAAGAATCCATCTTCATCTTTTTCCTTCTCGTAAAGCTGTCCCATAGTTAGGCTTGAAAGAGAGAAACAGAAATAACACTGAGAGTTGGGGTGAATGGCTGAGTCCCGCTGATGGGAGAAAAATGGCTTGAGAATAAGGAGCACACTACTTAAACTAGCTACTCTCTGTAACACCTCTGGTGAGAGGCTGATAAAAGGAATCAGGCCTCGGGGAATCGGGGATTAGACTAGAATCAGCCCCCTATCTCAAGGCCAGGCCATCTGAGGCACCCTCACACCAAGGAAATGCTTCAGAAGCCAGCCCCAGCTCCCAGGGAGTGCTTTCAGAGAGCTTCCTGAACGCCAGGGGCAGGAGAGAAAGCCGAAACAAGTACGGGACCAAGAGCCCGTCTGTGGGAGCGGAGGACAAAGGTGGGAGCAGTGCCTCCTTCCAGCTGGCCTCTGAAGATTCATAACTAGTGCCTGACAGGACGGGAACGAGTGGGTTCATGCCTGTGCAACCTCCCCCGCCGGAGACCTGTGCCCGAGACCGGCGTCGGCGTCATCAAAGGGAAGCTGCTCTCCTCGCAGGTAGAGCAAGCAGCTCTCAGGCTGTATCGGCAGCCAAAGAAGTCCTGCCTAAGAAGCCTCCATGCACAGATACTGCTCCAGCTAAGCACGCGGGGGAGGAGAGCTGGCTTTCCCTCAGCAGCACGACAGACTGCAGCAGGGGAGACCTGGGCGCGCCCCGCCATGAAGCTGAGCTGCACTGGCTCCAGAGGACAGCCTAGCAACACCTGAGCTCTGGCCACCTGAATGCACTATTCGAGATGAGCAGAGGTCCAGACACACGCTAAACATGGGCATGACTATGTGTGGGGGGAGTGGGGGTGACAACCAGAGAGCCCCATCTGACGGAGCAGTCTGGGAGCCAGCTCGAGACGTCAGAGGTCACTAAGCCCAGAAAGGTCACAACAGATGCTTCAGTGCAGGACTCAGTAAAACCGGGGCAGCGGGCACACGGAGAGGGGTCGGGGCCTCCAGCTGGTGAAGACAAGGCTGCCCCACAGCCCTGCCTTGCTCCTGGCTGCTGTGAGAGACCTCCACGTCGACAGAGAGAGACCACACTTCCATACAAAGGGGACGTTTCCTCCTTCCCGACTCTTCCTGCCTCTCTTTAAGCTTAGAGCGCTGGCTGTGTGGGTAGATGAGAATTAGTAACAATGTAGGAGTGGATGAGTATGAATACAAAATAGCCTGTCACTGGCATCTTGTACAATAAGAACTGTGCTCTGCGAGGCTCTGAGGTGGAATTTGTAAAATAAGGAAGCAGCACTGTCCACGAGAAATTTCTGCTATGATAGAAATGTACTATGTTTCTGCTGTCCAATGCAGTAGCCACTCTGTATCTGTGTTCAGGGCTTGAAAAGTGGTTCATCTGAATTGTGATGTGCTGTTAAGTGTAAAATATACACAAAATTTCAAAGTGTCAAAGTACAAAAAAAAGATGCAAAATTATCTCAATTTCGATTACATGTGGAAATGATGACATTTTGGGTGTATCAAACAGGTAAAATATACCATTCTTTTTCTTGTTGAATGTGGCTGCTAGAATATGTAGAATCACACAGGTGGCTTGCATGCCACTTTATGGACCGCACTGCCCTGAGACACGTGAGGACCTCGGGGCAGCCGGCAGGAGGAGGACACCTGTTCCGAGTGGCGGGCCTCCACCTCAGCTGCAGAAACAATGGGGAGCTTGAAAAACATGCCCAAGCCCTCCCCCAGACCAACTAAATCAGAATCTCTGGAGGTAGGGCCCAGGAATCAGTAAGTTTTAAGATGTCCAAGATGATTCCTTGTGCAGCCAAGTTGAGAATCCTTTTGCCAGAGGGGGAGATGCCTATCTTTAAGAGCATGTTACTAGGAAGAAGAGTGACAAGCCAGGAAGTGGAGTGAGGAGCCAGCAACTAGCAAAAGGTTGGAATGAGTAGCCACGTCTCTCGAGAAGACTTTTCGCCCCGGTGGCTGGCACCCTGAGGAACTCAGGTTTTCCCTGAGAATCCTGAAAATGAGGCCAAGGGGAAAACAGCTACCACTATGGCCACCACTGTGCACCACTTGGTACACGTGTCCAGGGCGCTCTCGATAAGACCTGAGCTACCATTTCCCCAGCACCACTACCAGAGGGCCCGGAAGCAAGAGACACTGTGCAATTCAAAGGCAGCAGCCCTGGGTGTCTACGTCACGTGTGGCCCCACCTGCAGACTAAGTTACGTCACGTGTGGCCCCACCTGCAGACTAAGTTACGTCACGTGTGGCCCCACCTGCAGACTAAGTTACGTCACGTGTGGCCCCACCTGCAGACTAAGTTACGTCACATGTGGCCCCACCTGCAGACTAAGTTCTGCTCTCCGAGCAAGTTAGAGACTCAAGGACAGTAACTCGGACTCCTGCCGCCAAGTTAGAGACGCCCGAGGAGCTTCGTAAACCCCCGACTCTGAATGCTGTCTGCAGTGAACAAGCACCGTGGACCGACTTCTAAGGCAAGCTCTGAGACTCTGAGGGGGTTGGGGGAGGGAGGTCTATAATCATGTGGCTTTCTGTCTTTAGATTCCATTGTCTTTTGGTAAAACTTGGGTTTCTAAATCTGTTTAATAGTGTCCTAGCAGCTACAGAGGCCAATCATAAAAATTCTAACTATAACAGCAAACACTTATGTGCCAAGCACTTGTTCTAAGTGTATTTCATACATAATTCTTTACCCTCAGAACAGTCTTAGGAGGCAGGTACAGTCATAACCCATAGTTCACAGATAATAAAAGTGAGGCAGAGAGATTAAATAATTCACCCCAGACCACAAAGCTAGGAGACATTCTTGCCACCAAGTTGTGCTGCCTTCATGTGAATACACAACTGGATCTAACAACCGAGTGTCAGCATTCTTGTACCTTCTGCAAAGATCGCCCTTAGAACAGTGCTCCTCACATACATATAAGCATACGGAATCACCTGGATGTCTTGCTAAAATGCCATTTAGATTCTGAAGGTCAAGGTCAAGCCTGAGGTTCTACATTTCAAACAAGTTCCCAGGGAAGCCACTGCTGAAGCCTCTGTATCACAGGCTGAGCAGGCCTTAGGGCCCCTCCTTTCAGATCCTGTGTTTTGATAACTAGATGCTTTCCCTAATGACTTTAGAGCCCTCTCGCTATTCTGTTTCTCTGGAACGCAGCATCACGCGGAGTCTACTTAGCTGGCAATAGCACCATGTCCTTATACTCAGGGTATCCCTTGGGCAGGAATTGAAAACTGACTGCTCACAACTGGGATCTAGACGCTCCAGTCCGCAGCCCATGACTGGACACCTGATTCCAAGGCTTCCCTAGGTACCGAGAAAGCATCTGTACAGTATGGTCTGAAAACAGCACTTGAGGGATCAGGCCACATACAGAGAATCAGAATAACTCAGTCTAGAGCCAAAAAAGAGCTGGGCTACAAATATAGTTTAAAAATAATTTTTTAAAAGAAGTCCCATATATATGGAATTTAGAAAGATGGTAACGATAACCCTATATGCAAAACAGAAAAAAAGACTCGGATATACAGAACAGACTTGTGGACTCTGGGAGAAGGTGAGGGTGGGATGTTTCCAGAGAACAGAATCGAAACATGTATATTATCTAGGGTGAAACAGATCACCAGCCCAGGTTGGGTGCATGAGACAAGTGCTCGGGCCTGGTGCACTGGGAAGACCCAGAGGGATCGGGTGGAGAGGGAGGTGGGAGGGGGGACCGGGATGGGGAATACATGTAAATCCATGGCTAATTCATTTCAATGTATGACAAAAACCACTGCAATGATGTAAAGTAATTAGCCTCCAACTAATAAAAATAAATGGAAAAATAAAAAAAATAAAAGTCCCATTAAAAGGACAGCCAAGTGGAAGGGCAGGGATGTAGAACACGCCTCTCTTCAACACTACTGCAGAAGGCTGCTGTGTTCCTTTAGGACAGGTTCCACACACCCTGAGAAGCTGGGCTCCCCTCTCCGAATTCAGAGGCCCAGGCCACTCAGCACTAGGCGGGCCGCCGCTGGAGCGCCAGAGCATCCGCAGGCTGACAGGCTGCTCCGACGCGTCTGTCAGGCTGACAACTCACGGGCAGCACGGCAACGCCGAGGGTTCCCGCCCAAGTGAGCAGCTACAGGAGATGCCCAGGGACGGCCCCCGGCCCGGCACTGAGGCTCCCTGCTGCGGCATCACTGCCACGGCCTCGCGTGCGACAGCCATCCAAGGACGCTGCCTTCAAGCTCTCAGTCTGACAGGGAGAAAGGGGAAAGTCCAACAGCAGATCTAAGGCGATCTAAGGTGTGGTGGGACCCTGAGCGACATGAGCCTGAACTGCTCCCTAAAACCTCGCCCCCACCCCTCCATTCAAGATCGAGCAGGTCTAGACAAACTAACCAGTAATTAAGGCACTTTTCAGAAGGACCCACATCTAGGAAGAGCCATGCTGCTGAGGACAAACTAGTTTTAAGCTACTCGACAGCTTATGAATTGGGGGCGGCTGACCTAGAACTGTGGATGCCCCATCCCTGCACCAGCTTTCCTTGGCCCCAACCAAGGTCAGCTTATGGAGGCTGTGGGATCCAGCCTGACTCATGAATTGGCTGGACCGATGGGCCACCTGGCCATCCATCTGCTTTGAAGCCCACGTGCTTCCACTGGACCTGGATTTGTCTCTCTTCCAGCAGGAGAAGCGGGGTGGGGGGTGAGGGGAGACGACAGTGGCTACTGCTGTGGACCCTGGAAAGACATGGGCCTCAGAGTTTAAGTTAATATGGCCCTAGAGGCTCCCTAAAATTCTAAAATACAAAAATTAACCACTGCTTATTCTTTTTATCAGGTTTTTCTCTGATATACTCTATTCCACTGCTAAAATAAACCCTGCTTTGAAGAAGTATTTACCCAGAAATGCTCAAAAGTGTTGAAGCATATTTCTAAATAAAGTTTAAATGAACTGTAAGACATCATAACTTCTTTTACACAGTACCATTTTAAGAGACAGGAACAAAAAAAACTATCAAAAAAAGAGCCAGGAACAATTAAATACCATAATCCTAAACAGCACAGATTTCCCAACATAACATTCCCAAATTACAACATTTTAGATATATTTAATTTAATAATATACTCCAGTTTCTATTTTACACAAGGGATTAATAAGACTCTTCTTATCTGTGCTCTAAACAAAGACCAAAAGGTGGGCACCAATGCCAGGTCTGGGTTCCCCACTAAAGCCTTGGCTGGAAAACTTATACAATAATGATATTCTTTCTCAAGTCCTGTCTGCACCAAGACACAGTTTTCCTTTCGTTTCCTGCCTGATTCTAGATGCAGGCACCTAGGCAGAGAATTCAACTTTCCAATGCTAAATGGGCAAAGGTAGTTGAGATCTCCCCTTTCAAAAAAAAAAAAAAAAACTCAAAGGATTTAAAATGTACAACTCTTAGGGACTTGCTTCTGTCTCTATCTCTAGAGTCAATATTAACACTGACTACTCAAACCATAATCACATTATTTTACATGATGGTCACCTGTGTCCCGGAACACTCCCAAAGTCTGCTCTAAGGCAGGAATAATGAAGTTACTTTTGCTCAGCCTCAGACATAAGCAATCCTTGTGTAGATCTGCTCGTTATGGGATGGGGGAGGGCTCATCCTTTCTCAACTCTGATTTCCCCAGCCACTCTCCAAAGGCTGCAAACCCCAGCTAACAGTTAAAGGAGGCTCCACGCTTCCCTAAGGAGGCTGGAAAGTGCTAAGGAAGAGGCTGCTGCTGCCTTGGGGAGGAAGTGGTGAAGCTGAGTCAAACTGTAGCTTTAGGAAGGAGACTGACAATTTCGTTTGTGCAGGCATCAGGTGATCAGCAGTTGCATAAAGCCCGAGGATGTCACATGCCCCTTTTGTTTATAAGCAAACTTGTTTTGAAGACTAAAACCTCCAAAGAACTGCTGCCTTAAATGTGGGCCAGGAAGTCATTAAGTGGAGCCAAAGGCGCTGAAGGATCTGGGTGGAGGGGCTGGTTGGTGTGCCTTGGGTCACCACTGTAACCTGTTTTAGGGAGGATTCTTACCAGGTTGGAAAGGCAAATAAAACAGGAGAGAAAGCAGCTTCTGCTGCCCTGAGAATCACTTTTCATTTCCAGTTCTACTTGGGGAGAGGGCATTAGTTAAAACCTGCAGCCATTGTAATTGCTACATTAACATAATCTTAATGTCCCCAGAAGCCTGCTTCATTTCTTCAAGAAGTATGGGAAGATCAGAATCAAGCAAAACAAAACTCAAGGCTACAGGTCCTACTCACAAACTTCTTCCCACCAAGAAGCCAACTCTGGGAAGGAGAACACACAGGGCCGTCAAGGAGCTGCACAAGCTGCAGGTGGCATGAAGATCTATTTACCTCTACCTCCCCACCACCTTAAGGGAAGCAGAAAGTGACCAGGAATGCCCAGGGCTTCCCTAGCCTCCCGTGGAGAAGAATGCACCCAGCACCACAGTGCCCAGAGGCCTGGAAGGAAGGCTGAGAGCCCAGCGGGGTGACAAGATGACCCCTGGCAACACCACAGCTTCCTAAACTCAGGCTGTAAGCAGACCAATGGTGCCCATTAAGCAGGGCCTGGCCTTTCTCCTCAGGCAGAGCCTTGGCCTCATGGAAGGCAGACCTTCCATTCTCCCCTATCCTCTGCCAAACATCAGGAAGCAGAAGTGGCAGAGACTGGGAAAGAGAAAACCAGACCTTGAAAATAGCCAGTTATTCTATTCGTAGGAAATGGGACTAGAATTTGGCTTAGGCCTCTCCTGGAGCTTTCAAGGATTTTCAAAAGAAGCATATTTGGCTACATGGGGCTAGTTCCCAGGGCTTCTTAAAGCCTTAGCTTCGGAAGTACTACTTTTGGGGGGATAACAAAATGAAACTCAGGAGGAAGAGGGCCGGCATTTGGCTCTGTTACTCTAATCAGTAACAGAAAAGAACTGACCAGGGATACAGACTGAGCCAGAAAACTCTCCTCTCTCCACAGGAGACTAAAGCTAGGTTGTCACCTACCTTGAAGCGAATTGTAATGCCCCTGGCTCAATTCAGGCCCCAAATATCCCAAAGACTGCTTCCAGGCAGCACAACAGCAAGAACAAGAGGCCAGCTACTCTGACAGAGCAAAGCGAGGTGGAAGTCTATAAATAGCCGTCTCTGGGTACCTGAGGCTCAGGCAGCGTACTCTCAGAGTACAGGACTGAGCCTGGAGAGCGAGCGAGCAGGCAGGTGCTTAACTGAAGCTAAGCCTCAGCAGGGCCCACAGGCTCCTGGGGAAGAATGACAGGACTTATTTCACGGATCATTTGGAGAAAAACCTCATTTCAGGCTTCAGTTCTACTGATGGCTTAAGCCTAATTAAGTCCTGAACTATTTAAAACGATTCTTGGGTATCTGAGGCTGAATTTCATCTTTTTTTTTTTTTAAAGTCCAGGCCTTGCTCTGTTTCCTTAAACCAAAGTGCACACACATCCATTGCAGCCCTTTCTTGTTTTCCTTGAGCTCCTGATGTCAGGGAGCACAAAATTCAGATTTCTAATCAGGATCTCTAAGAGTTTTCAGACTCCCAAAGTTTTGAGTTCTGTAAGCAACCAAGCAGATGTCCAATACCAGTAAATACCCCTCACCTGGACTGTGGGACTGTCTTATCCACAAACAGGAAGATCGCCTTTTCAGAAGGAAGCTGGATCCTTTTCCTGATGATCCACATGAACTGAGCCACAGTGATGTCGGATGGAACCAGATACTTCCGTTTGTCAATGTCAACAATCTGAGAGCCTGAGACCTTTTCCACAATCACCTGCGAAAGCAAAGGTCATGACTGGATTGCTAACGTGAGGCTCTGGCCTTGCATTGCTGGAGTGCTGATTAACAGTGTGTGGGCAAGGAGGTGGGTGTGAAAAGGCATAACATGAGCAAATATGCCCCTGGCTTAATAAACCACACACTCTGGAGGTTAAGAATTGATATAAATGTGTTACAGGGAAACAGTAAGTGCTTTTCTGTGGTCAATTATTAATACAGCTCCCATCCCTGATCTCAGCATGCATAAGAGAAACACAGCCCTCACTACAAAGCTTTTCAATATTCTGTCTGGGCAGAAGTGAGAGAATCTGGTGAGGGGTTCCTCTACAGCCTCTTACTCCAGGGCCCCAGAATGGATCTGCCTTCACAATACAGGGGAATTAGGATCTCAAAGAACACAGGAAATGAGAAGGGACAGATCAATGGGGATGACTGGCAACCCCAGGCAGCCAAGGTCCAAGCTCTTCACTTGGCCTGTTGCTTCTCCGAACTAAGTTTCAAATCTATCCCTCCTGCCTCTCCCCAAAGGAACTATTCATAAGCAATAAGCTACAATAACAGGCCTGGATGTCCTCAAAAATCAATAAGGGTTACAGAAACTATCTCCCCCATCATGGGATAAATACAGGATAAGTATTATTGATCAGCGGCGGCTCAGATTTTTCTTTTTTTTTGGTCAGGAAAGGATGACAGGGTCAGGGTGAGAAAAGGGAACCAGAAGTCAGGTAAAGAAGAAGGCACAAAGTTAAAGATGAATGTCCTGAGACTGAAGTACCACTTCCAAGACCAAAGTGAACGTCTCCCTCCACCACCATTCCCTAAAGTGACTATGACCTGTCGCCCTGTCCTAGAACATCGTTTCTTACATAATTGGCTAGGGAGCCCAGAGGCTGCAGACAGCTCGCTGGCCTAGATCGCGAGGTTCAGCACCAAAGCATTCTGAACAGCATCCAGTACAGCCCCTCAAGCCGCGGCCCTCGACGGCCCCTTACCCAGTGTGGCCCATCTGCCCCCACAACCGTGACTGGATTCTAAACTTGTCAACTGTTGAGCAGCCTGGGGCCCCACCACCGGTCCTAGACGGCAGGGGTGGCAGCGAGGCGAGGGGGCGGGGAACGCACTCACCGGAACCCGGTCGGGGTATTTCGCTCGGATCTTCGCAGATTCCACGCATCTGTGTTCTGAGGGAGAAACACACGGGACTGACTGCCGCGCCTGCCCGCCGGCCGCCTCCCAGAGCCCCGGCCCTCCTCCCTCCGGGACCTGCGCACACCCCCGGTCCTCTAGGGCGTCCGGGCGGGCCCGGTCCTCGGGGCCCCGGCTCCGGCAGGGCCCGCAGAGAGCGGCCTGGGGCTGGTGGGCAACCGCCCGGGGGGCCAGGACCTCAGCCGCCCGAGCCCGGAGGGAAGCGCCCGCCCCGCCCGGCCCAGCCTGGGGAGGCCTGAGTGGGGGAGGGGGCCCCCGCCGCCCCCGCCCCCACGGCCGGGCCAGCGGCCGAGCGCTCACCCAGCGAGTGGTCCTCCTTAAACATCCACTTCATGGCGGCGGCGAAGAAGGGACGCAGCCGGCTCTCGGAGCCGCGGAGCTCAGCGCACCAACCACAACAACAACGGCGTCGGCGGCGGCGGCGGCGGCGGCGACTACACGGCAGGCGGGACTTCCGGCTGCCGGAGCCTAGCAACCGGGAGGGGCGGGGCTTCCGGCGCCGCTCGCGGGACACCGCCTCAAGGGGCGGGCCCGCGTGTCAAGGGGCGGGGCAGGAGAGGGGCTTAGAGAAGTTCTCGGCGGAGGGGAGGATAGAGCGGGCGATCGGGAGGTCTGTGAGGGATACTGATGACTGCGGAGCGGGTATTTGAGAGCTGGTAGCAGGCGTGGGGTCTCAGTGGACGTTAGTAAAGGGAAGAGGTGAGCAGGGGCCCGGCTGACAGGATAGAGCCCTTACAGTGCTGTTCAGGAGACTGTTCAAAAAGCAAGGCTGACTGGGGCGTTGATGACGAGAGGGCAATTTTGTAGGTTTGAATGACAGAAGAGGGTGCTCTGATGGCCAGTGATAGCAAGGGGTCAATTTAGGGCTTTGACACTTTGGGGAGGAGTCTTTGGAGTGACTGCAGGTTCAGGGCTCAATCTGAGGAATGTGACTGGTTTGAGGGGGCTGTGTGGGGAGGGGTACCAGAGGAGTTAGAGGTGAGACTGTCAGACCCAGAGAATTCCCCTGATACCTAGTCATGAGGTGGGTTTCTTTGGCATTCAGCATGAAGTTCAGCCTTCACAACCTAAGGGGGGTGTGTGTGTGTGTCCTGCCTGACCATATGCCTTCAGGTTCTCCAGTGATGTCATTGCTTTCTTCAAGACACACCAGGGCAGTGTGCTCTAGTTCATCCATCTTTTTATGAGCTGGTGAATATGTAAGAAGATATTCACTTAATTGGGCACGTGATCCTTGCCACGTGCTTGTGATTCTGATGCATCTGAAAGGCTTGTTATGTTTGGACATTATCATTTCCTAAGTTGAAATTCCTGATGGATGCTGTGGAATATAGCTTCATTCTAGAAGAATTTCTTGTTATTTTAAGATTGCTTCCTTGTTTTTTATGAAATATCCTTTGAATTTCATGCCTGGAAACTTTTGTTGTTGCATGTAAGAGCACTGTTCTAAGTGTTGGTGAAAAGCAGTAAACAGAACAGATGGCACTTCCACTCTTACAGAGCTTGCATTCTAGTGGGACAAAATGAAAAAAATATATGTTGGGTAATGATAGGTACTGTTTAGAAAAATAAAGCATACTTGGTGACTACTGAGTCACATGATTGTGGGATCGGATGTTAATTAGATAAAGTGGTTGGCATATTTCTGGGAACAGGAAGGAGTCCCGTGTGACTGGAGCTGAATACACAAGAAAGTGTGCACTAGGAAGTGAGATCAAAGAGATCTAGAAAAGTGTGTTGAACTTTGAATTCCATTTGAAGAACTTTGGATTTTATTTAGAATGAGATGAGAAGGCAGTGGAGGGTTATAAGCAGAAGTGTGACATGATATGACTTTCCTAGCTTCTGTGTAGCCAGTAGATTATAGGGGGTTGAGGATGGAAGTAAGGGAACAGTTAAGAGGCTATTGTGATAATCCAGGTATAAGATTATGTTGGTTTAAACCAAGATAGTATCTGTGGCGGTAATGGGAAGCAACTGTGTTCTAGATACATTTTGAAGGTAGATCCAACAAAATTTGCTGAGCAATTGAATATGATTCATGAGGAACAAGTATAAGTCAGGGTTTTGGAAGAATTGAGTTGTCATTTACTGGAACAGGGTGGAACCTGAGGGGTGGGTTGTGCAAATCAAGAGTTTGGTTTTGAATATATTAAGTGTTAGATGCCCAAAAGACACATCCAAGTAAAGATGTAGAGTAGGTAGATGGATCTATGAATCTCAGATTCAGGATAGAAGTATTTAAAGCTATCAAATAAGATGAGATCTACTAGAAAGTGAGACAGCATATTAAAAAGCAGAGACATTACTTTTCCAACAAAGATCCGTCTAGTCAAGGCTATGGTTTTTCCAGTAGTCATGTATGGATGTGAGAGTTGGACTATAAAGAAAGCTAAGCACTGAAGAATTGATGCTTTTGAACTGTGGTGTTGGAGAAGACTTTTGAGAGTCTCTTGGACAGCAAGGAGATTCAACCAGTCATCCTAAAGGAAATCAGTCCTGAATGTTCATTGGAAGGACTGATGCTGAAGCTGAAACTCCAATACTTTGGCCACCTGATGCGAAGAGCTGACTCATTTGAAAAGACCCTGATGCCAGGAAAGATAGACGGCAGGAGGAGGAGGGGATGACAGAAGATGAGATGGATGGATGGCATCACCGACTCAATGGATATGAGTTTGGGTAGACTTCAGGAGTTGGTAATAGGCAGGGAGGCCTGGCATGCTGCAGTCCATGGAGTCACAAAGAGTCGGACACGACTGAGCAACTGAACTGAACTGACTGAAATGAAGAGAGTGAGCATAAAAATGAAAATAACCTGTTTTGCAAATAGAATTTAGCACTGAGGGATGAAGATGGTTGTTAACCCTCTGATAGTGAATCAGTGAAGGAGTTAGAAATTGGACCAAAGACCCCTGCTTCCCATTACAGAGCTGGTCATTGTGTCCTAGTTCGAAGTATGTGTACACCATCTTACACCTGGAAGAACTTAGTATGCTTCTTAGTGGAGAGATAATAAGCTCATCAACTTACAAGCATGTTTGTCACCTGATGGTCTCGACATGCAATGTCTGTCTTCTATCTTTACCTACCTTTTTTTTTTTTTGCCACATCACGCGACATGCAGGAATCTTAGTTCTTAGTCCCCCACCCCACCCCCAGGGATCCAACACATGCCCAGTGCACTAGAAGTGTAGAGTCCTAACCCCTGAACCACCAGGGACTTCCTTTTACCTACCTTCCTGATGTCTTTTTCCAGTTCACCATTCTAATTGGTTTCTCTGGCTGATGACATTGTCACCTTAGACTGTGGTAAGGGCACTGTATAGTTTTCCCATATGGGCATGTCTTGACCTCTCTTCTTAGGTAGGATCTCAGCTGTTCTCTTCAGCTAAAACCCAATTCTAGGTTACAGTAACTAAACTTATCATGGTAATCATTCTGAAATGTATAGAAATACTGAATCACTATATTGTATAACAGGAACTAACCTAATGTTGTGGTCAATTATACTTCAAAAATGAACTCATTAAAAAGAGATCAGGTTTGTGATTACCCAAGGCAAGGTGGAGGGAGGGGAAAGATGGATGAAGTCAGTCAGAAGATACAAATTTCCAGTTATAAGATAAATGAGTACTAGGGGGGTAATGTACAACATGATAAATATAAGTAACACTGCTTTATGATGTATATGAAAGAGTAAATGCTAAGAGTTCTCATCACAGGGGAAAATTTTTTTTCTATTTCCTTAATTTTTAATCTATATGAGATGAGAGATGTTCAATAAATTTATTGTGGTAATCATTTCATGATGCATGTAACTTAAATCATTATGTTGTACACCTTAAACTTATACAGTGCCATATGTCAATTTTACCTCAATAAAACTAGGAGAAAAACCCACTTCTAGGTTGCCTTCAAAATAGGGGTGTCTACCAGTGGATTTCATTCTCAGCACAAACTTCAAAAACTCGGCACTGCAATGTGATCCTTTAGGGCCTTTTGATGGAGAACTTGACTGTTGATTACTTAAAAAATAAAAAATTCCTTCTGCCATGTTTGAAATACTAGAAAGCAGATGGGATGGGAGGGAAAGCATTCAATTAAGTAATCAGTTCAATTCAGTCGCTCAGTCGTGTCCGACTCTGCGACCCCATGGACTGCAGCACGCCAGGCTTCCCTGTGTAATTTTATCTTTGAGGAGGACCACGGCTTCTCCTAAAATAAGTAGACTAAAGTTTGTGCCCAATCAAGATAGCAAAGTATAGCAGAGCTATACAGTAATTATCTTTTTTTTCCCCTCGAAGAACAGGGAGAAAAATAGGTCTGTTTCCGTGTCTGCTCTGCTATGGAGTATAGTGAAAGCGATAGAAAATTTGGAAACAAAGGGACCTGGTTTGGTCTTAACCCAGGACCAAGTGTCTAGGACCACGGCCACATTTGTGTTTTTTGTTTGCCTCCAACGTAGGGTGTGCTGTGATGGGTTGAACTTAAATATGCAATGAACCACATTGGGGATTAATAGATGTGACTATTAATAAATAGTCAACATTTATGAAAAACCTTATTTTACAAAAATGTTAACAACGGCCACAATTTTGGCGCACAGAAACGCGCTTTGAGAAGACGCTAGTACAGCGCGACCACAGTGCACTTGCGGGCCCCGCCCCGTTGGCCCCGCCCCCACTGAAGCCCGCCTGCTAGCTATTGGTCGCTCTCCCTGTGCCGTCGGTTGCCGTGGAAACGACGGCTATGGCAACCAGGAGAAGCCATACTAGGTCGACGCTCCGAAACCGCGTAGGGGCCGCGACCCAGCGCGCCGCTCATGGCGCTCTATGAGCTCTTTGCGCACCCGGTGGAGCGGGGCTACCGTGCGGGGCTCTGCTCCAAGGCGGCGCTCTTCCTGCTGCTGGCCGCCGCGCTCACGTACATCCCGCCGCTGCTGGTGGCCTTCCGGAGCCACGGTGAGTCTGCCCCCTGCCCCGGCCGGTGCGCGCCCCGCGGCCCTCAGTGGCTCCCGCGCCGCCTCCCTGACCAGGATCTCTGCGCCCCGCACTCTTGTTATCTCAGGGTTTTGGCTGAAACGGAGCAGTTACGAGGAGCAGCCAACCGTGCGCTTCCAGCACCAGGTGCTGCTCGTGGCCTTGCTAGGATCCGAGCCGGGCGGGTTCCTCGCCTGGAGCACGTTCCCCGCCTTCAACCGGCTGCAGGAGGGTCATCTGCGCGTCCCGCTCGTCTCGGTGAGTGCTTCCCGCCTGGGCCCGGCCGCGCAGACTGGGCTGCGGAGGGGATGGGCGGAGGTCGCGGGCGGGCGGGAGGCCCCGGTCCCCGTCCCGTGGGGCCCGGGGTGCGGCTTAAGGAGTCACGAACCCCTGACACGAACTTCTGTTTCCTTTCCTGGGGGCCTGCTTGTTGGTACATTCGGCTTCTTCAAGCCGTCCCCCACCCCGGTAAAGTTGGCTGCTGCTGTCAGCGTCTCTGTTCTCTGCAGTTTCCAGCCCCTGGCATATTCCGTGGGCCTGGATCTTCCTGAGGGAATGGTGGTCGCGGAATTTGTTGTGTGAGTCGCGTTGTTGTTCATTCCCTAAGTCATGTCCGACTCTGGTGGTGGTGGTTTAGTAGCTAAGTCGTGTCTGACCCTTGCGACCCCATGGGCTGTGGCCCACCAGGCTCCTCTGTCCACGGGATTCTCCAGGCAAGAATACTGGAGTGGCCATGCCCTCCTCCAGGGGATCTTCCCGACCCAGGAATCAAACCCAGGTATCAAACCCAGGTCTGCTGCATCACAGGCAGATTCTTTACCAACTGAGCTATGAGGGAAGCCCGACTCTGTGAGCCCGTAAACTGCAGCACGCCAGGTCTCCCTGTCCTTCACCATCTCCGTGAGTTTGCTCAAACTCACGTGCGTTGAGTCAGTGACGCCATGCATCTCATCCTCTGTTCCGGTTAATCACCTCGTTGTGCCGCTGAGTCTGCTTGCGCCCACTGTCCGCGAGGAAAGGGCAGGCAGTTTCAGGCGCACTGACACGTGGAAGCCGACGGGCTGTTTGGTTAACCGACCTCCAGAACGTCCTGCTGGCCAGGCCCGCCTCCCTGGGCTCACCTCCTTAGGTGGCGCTCAGTCCTGCTGCTGCCTGGGACTAAAATGAAGCATTTTACTGTCTGTCATGTAGTATCTGGTTCAAGTTAAGTGAGTGCTTCCTTTACAGTCACCCCTTTAAACTCACTTTCTGAAAGCATTTTCCTTTGGAAGTAGGAAAATTCTGGATTTCCTTCTTCCAGAGTTGAATCTCTTTAGATATCTGAGATGATGGGCCTACATTCAGATTTCTGTAGCTGAAAAAAAAATTTTTTCAGACTTTTTCCACAGTAACTGAATAAAGTGGCCAAAAAAAATTTAAATGCAATTTGCCATAAATGAATAACCACAAACAAAATATGGTTCTGATTACTTTTTATGATTACTTTTAATTTTTTTATAATTATAAAAATGCCTGCTCGTTGAAAGTAGTAGAGTTACAGGTACATATAATGACATGAAATTAAAAGCTCAGTTTGGTACATGTATCTAGACTTGTTGATTAACCTTCATTTTAAGGTCTGCTAGGGGCTTCCCTGATGGATCAGTGGTAAAGAGTCTGCCTGCCAATGCAGGAGACTTGGGTTTGATCTGTGGGTCAGGAAGAGCCCCTGGAGAAGGAAATAGCAACCCACTCCAGTGTTCTTCTCTGGGAAATCCCATGGACAGAGAAGCCTGGTGGGATATACAGTCTATGCGGTTACAGAAGAACTAGACACAACTTAGTGACTAAACAACCAAATATTTCATGATATGGAAAGTTGTAATGGATTTACCAGGTTCCTGTTGGTGGATTTTTTGTTTTTACTTTTTCACTATTAGAATATTGCAGTGAACAAGATTTTGAATAAATCATACACCTTTAAACATCAAATTGTGAGGAATTGGAGTAGAAGCTGTTTGTTAAAATTGCAAAAATACATAGAAAACTAAGCAAGCAAATAAAATAATTATTAACTCCAGAAAAATAGAAAGGAAAAATAATCAGAGTTATGAATACGATTTCAGTTCAGTTCAGTCACTCAGTCATATCCGACTCTTTGCGACCCCATGAACTTCAGCACGCCAGGCCTTCCTGTCCATCACCAACTCCCGGAGTCTCATGTCCATTGAGTCAGTGATGCCATCCAACCATCTCATCCTCTGTCATCCCCTTCTCCTCCTGCCTTCAATCTTTCCCAGCATCAGGGTCTTTTCCAATGAGTCAGCTCTTCGCATCAGGTGGCCAAAGTATTGGAGTTTCAGCTTCAAGCATCAGTCCTTCCAATGAACACCCAGGACTGATCTCCTCTAGGATGGACTGGTTGGATCTCCTTGCAGTCCAAGGGACTCTCAAGAGTCTTCTCCAACACCACAGTTCAAAAGCATCGATTCTTCGGTGCTCAGCTTCTTTACAGTCCAACTCTCACATCCATACATGACCACTGGGAAAACCATAGCCTTGACTAAACGGACCTTTGCTGACAAAGTAATGTCTCTGGTTTTTAATATGAATAGGATTTACATAATCATAATTAGGTGAACACTAAATGTTGACTAACCAAAAGAAGAGTTTAACTCTTCTCGGTGTGTGGGGTAGGAAGAGGCAAAGAAAATTAAATCATCCCTCTCTGTGGGAAGACAATAGAGGATGCCTGAAACAGAAATTGAGAAGTGCCAATGCAAATGTTATTTAAAGACATGAAGGTACAATTCTAAATTATAAAGTAAATGAGGTGAATTTATTTGCTGTGTGGGTGGAAGCCTGCTGGATTTTTTAACAAACATCATTGAACCTTTTGATCCTTTAACTGATCAGGTCCTTTAAATTTATTTAAAAAATAGAACTGGAGTACAGACAAGTTTCTTTCAGCAGCTCCTCCCTAATCTTCACACGTTGCCCATTTTTATTCTTATTTGAGGTTTTAATGCCTATGGGGAAGGTGACTGTTGATGTGAGACCAGCATCAAGGTATGCTTCCTTTTCCCTGTAAACCCACGGTTCCACCCATGTTTCCCTTCCAACAGTAGAAGCAAAGGTGGTTGTTGTTTGTATTATAAACACACAAAAAATTAACTTGTTAGTTTTACTCTAGGTTAGCTTTCCCTGTCTTTTAAACTTTGGGTAGAAATTTTTTTTCTTTACATTTGTGTATTCTTATCTATTATATTCTCCTGGGTACTTGAGTTTTTAAGAAATAATCATGAAAACAAAATAGTCATGAAAACAAGGAAACAACATTAGGTTTCATTTTTGTGTTCTTTTCACTTGTTCATCCACCATAAACTGGTTTGACTCCCCAGTTGCATTACTAGCTAGCCTCTTATCTCTGTGACCAGAAGCCACTCCCTTGAGAGCACTGCCCACCAGGCCCCTACTTCTGGCGTGTGTGTGTTGCGATTTTATGAAGCCGAGACTGCTTCTTATTTTTATGGAACCCTATCAATACTCTTTAATACTGGGTAATTTTGCACTGTAAGACATAAAGCCAAAGTTCCTTTTTCTTAGTTTTTTTCCCTCTCCATTCCAAGCCTGTGTCTGTAAGTAAATTATGACCTTGTAATTTGCAATCTTTCACGGTAAATTATTTGCTTACTTCCTGATTGACCTCTTGGTTTGAAAAAGTTTGAAATCATGAGATACAAATAAATGAATTAGAAGATATAAGGGAAGTACAAGAAAAAAAAGTAAGTAAAAATTCAAGGAGAAAAAGAATAACACAAGAAGTCTACCAGATATTAAACTACACCTTAAAGCTCCAATAAATAAAGTAGTGTGGCTTGTAGAATTGTATAAAATGTGGAAATGAACCCAAATATGACTAAGGTGGCATTTTTTTAAATATATATATATTTATTTATTTGGTAGTGCCAGGCCTTAGTTGTAGCATGTGGGATCTAGTTCCATGACCAGGGATTGAACCCAGGCTCCTCTGCATTGGAAGCCTGGAATCTTAGCCACTGGACCACCAGGGAGGTCCCCTAAGGTGGCATTTTAAATCAGTGAGTGAAGATGAAGCTAGTACTCAGAGACTGTATAGAAGAATTAAAGTCCAGGCCAAAATTAAATTTAAAATATGAAATCACAAAACTACTGAAACAAATGAGTGAAAACTTTTAGATTTCTCAGTATGACATAAAATCTAGAAGGCATAAAAGAAACTTTTTTGATAAATGCAAGTATATAAAAAACAATTTTAAAAACTGTTGGCCTGGTGAAAACCAAAAGCAAAGTCAAAACACAAAATGACAACTAGGGAAAAAAGTTTTACTATTTGTTTCACTTATAAAGGGCTAATTTTCCTAACATAAAGTGCCTCAGTTCTTTTCAGTCACTCAGTCATGTCTGATCCTTTTCGACTCTATGGACTGCAGCACGCCAGGCTTCCCTGTCCATCGCCAGCTCTCAGAGTTTGCTCAGACTAATGTCCATTAAGTTGGTGATGCCATCCAACCATCTCATCCTCTGTCATCTCCTTCTCTTCCTGCCTTCAATCTTTCCCAGCATCAGGGTCTTTTCCAAGGAGTCACTTCTTCACATCAGGTGGCCAAAGTATTGGAGTTTGAGCTTCAGCATCAGTCCTTCCAATGAATATTCAGGACTGATCTCCTTTAGGATGGACTGGTTGGATCTCCTTGCAGTCCAAGGGACTCTCAAGAATCTTCTCCAACATCACAGTTCAAAAACATCAATTCTTAAGCACTCAGCTTTCTTTACAGTCCAACTGTCACATCCATACATGACTACTGGAAGAACCATAGCTTTGACTAGACAGACCTTGTTGGCAAAGTAATGTTTCTGCTTTTTAATATGCTATATAGGTTGATCATAGATTTTCTTCCAAGGGGCAAGCATCTTTTAATTTCATGGCTGCAGCCTCCATCTGAAATGATTTTGGAGCCCAAGAAAATAAAGTCTGTCACTGTTTCCGTTGTTTCCCCATCGATTTGCCATGAAGTGATGGGACCAGATGCTATGACCTTTGTTTTTTTTTGTTTTTTTTTACTCCCGGCCCTCCCCGACCTTTGTTTTTTGAATGTTGAGTTTTAAGCCAGCTTTTTAACTCTGACCAAGTACGTAGTTTTAAAAATGGGTAAAGAATATGAACAGTTCATAGAAGATGAAACATGCCACTGAATAAAAAAATCATATGCACAACCTAAAAGTTGAGTTATAATTTA